AGTACATCAAGGAGAGTACACCAAGGGGAGTACACCAAGGGGAGTACACCAAGGGAGTACACCAAGGAGAGTACACCAAGGAGAGTACATCAAGGAGAGTACACCAAGGAGAGTACACCAAGGAGAGTACATCAAGGAGAGTACATCAAGGAGAGTACACAAAGGAGAGTACATCAAGGAGAGTACATCAAGGAGAGTACACCAAGGAGAGTACACCAAGGAGAGTACACAAAGGAGAGTACATCAAGGAGAGTACATCAAGGAGAGTACACCAAGGAGAGTACATCAAGGAGAGCACATCAAGGAGAGTACACCAAGGAGAGTACATCAAGGAGAGTACATCAAGGAGAGTACATCAAGGAGAGTACATCAAGGAGAGTACACCAAGGAGAGTACATCAAGGAGAGTACATCAAGGAGAGTACACAAAGGAGAGTACATCAAGGAGAATACATCAAGGAGAGTACACCAAGGAGAGTACACCAAGGAGAGTACACAAAGGAGAGTACATCAAGGAGAATACATCAAGGAGAGTACACCAAGGAGAGTACATCAAGGAGAATACATCAAGGAGAATACATCAAGGAGAGTACACCAAGGAGAGTACACCAAGGAGAGTACACAAAGGAGAGTACATCAAGGAGAATACACCAAGGAGAGTACACCAAGGAGAGTACACAAAGGAGAATACATCAAGGAGAATACATCAAGGAGAGTACACCAAGGAGAGTACACAAAGGAGAGTACACCAAGGAGAGTACATCAAGGAGAGTACACACACGCAATAATTACACCTGCACGCGCGTCTCACACTCAAGGCCGTCTCCTCACTACTTCCTCTTCACTTGCTCATCTTCGCATTATCTTTCTTTCACCGTCTTCACCTTCACCTGCCCCCCCAGCCACCTTCACCTGCCCCCCCAGCCACCTTCACCTGCCCCCCCAGCCACCTTCACCTGCCCCCCCAGCCACCTTCACCTGCCCCCCCAGCCACCTTCACCTGCCCCCCCGGCCACCTTCACCTGCCCCCCCAGCCACCTTCACCTGCCCCCCCAGCCACCTTCACCTGCCCCCCCAGCCACCTTCACCTGCCCCCCAGCCACCTTCACCTGCCCCCCAGCCACCTTCACCTGCCCCCCCAGCCACCTTCACCTGCCCCCCCCCCCCAGCCACCTTCACCTGCCCCCCCCAGCCACCTTCACCTGCCCCCCAGCCACCTTCACCTGCACCCCCCAGCCACCTTCACCTGCCCCCCCCAGCCACCTTCACCTGCCCCCCCCAGCCACCTTCACCTGCCCCCCCAGCCACCTTCACCTGCCCCCCCCAGCCACCTTCACCTGCCCCCCAGCCACCTTCACCTGCCCCCCCAGCCACCTTCACCTGCCCCCCCAGCCACCTTCACCTGCCCCCCAGCCACCTTCACCTGCCCCCCCAGCCACCTTCACCTGCCCCCCCAGCCACCTTCACCTGCCCCCCCAGCCACCTTCACCTGCCCCCCCAGCCACCTTCACCTGCCCCCCCAGCCACCTTCACCTGCCCCCCCCCAGCCACCTTCACCTGCCCCCCCCAGCCACCTTCACCTGCCCCCCCAGCCACCTTCACCTGCCCCCCCAGCCACCTTCACCTGCCCCCCAGCCACCTTCACCTGCCCCCCAGCCACCTTCACCTGCCCCCCCAGCCACCTTCACCTGCCCCCCAGCCACCTTCACCTGCCCCCCAGCCACCTTCACCTGCCCCCCAGCCACCTTCACCTGCCCCCCAGCCACCTTCACCTGCCCCCCAGCCACCTTCACCTGCCCCCCAGCCACCTTCACCTGCCCCCCAGCCACCTTCACCTGCCCCCCAGCCACCTTCACCTGCCCCCCAGCCACCTTCACCTGCCCCCCAGCCACCTTCACCTGCCCCCCAGCCACCTTCACCTGCCCCCCAGCCACCTTCACCTGCCCCCCCAGCCACCTTCACCTGCCCCCCAGCCACCTTCACCTGCCCCCCAGCCACCTTCACCTGCCCCCCAGCCACCTTCACCTGCCCCCCCAGCCACCTTCACCTGCCCCCCAGCCACCTTCACCTGCCCCCCCAGCCACCTTCACCTGCCCCCCCCAGCCACCTTCACCTGCCCCCCCAGCCACCTTCACCTGCCCCCCCAGCCACCTTCACCTGCCCCCCCAGCCACCTTCACCTGCCCCCCCAGCCACCTTCACCTGCCCCCCAGCCACCTTCACCTGCCCCCCAGCCACCTTCACCTGCCCCCCCAGCCCCCCAGCCACCTTCACCTGCCCCCCAGCCACCTTCACCTGCCCCCCCAGCCACCTTCACCTGCCCCCCAGCCACCTTCACCTGCCCCCCAGCCACCTTCACCTGCCACCTTCACCCCCCCAGCCACCTTCACCTGCCCCCCCCCCCCCAGCCACCTTCACCTGCCCCCCAGCCACCTTCACCTGCCCCCCAGCCACCTTCACCTGCCCCCCCAGCCACCTTCACCTGCCCCCCAGCCACCTTCACCTGCCCCCCCCCAGCCACCTTCACCTGCCACCTTCCCCCCCCCCAGCCACCTTCACCTGCCCCCCCCCCCAGCCACCTTCACCTGCCCCCCAGCCACCTTCTTCACCTGCCCCCCCAGCCACCTTCACCTGCCCCCCCCCAGCCACCTTCACCTGCCCCCCAGCCACCTTCACCTGCCCCCCAGCCACCTTCACCTGCCCCCCCCCAGCCACCTTCACCTGCCCCCCCCCAGCCACCTTCACCTGCCCCCCCCCAGCCACCTTCACCTGCCCCCCCCAGCCACCTTCACCTGCCCCCCCCCAGCCACCTTCACCTGCCCCCCCCCAGCCACCTTCACCTGCCCCCCCCAGCCACCTTCACCTGCCCCCCAGCCACCTTCACCTGCCCCCCCAGCCACCTTCACCTGCCCCCCAGCCACCTTCACCTGCCCCCCCAGCCACCTTCACCTGCCCCCCCAGCCACCTTCACCTGCCCCCCCAGCCACCTTCACCTGCCCCCCCAGCCACCTTCACCTGCCCCCCCAGCCACCTTCACCTGCCCCCCCAGCCACCTTCACCTGCCCCCCAGCCACCTTCACCTGCCCCCCAGCCACCTTCACCTGCCCCCCAGCCACCTTCACCTGCCCCCCAGCCACCTTCACCTGCCCCCCAGCCACCTTCACCTGCCCCCCAGCCACCTTCACCTGCCCCCCAGCCACCTTCACCTGCCCCCCCAGCCACCTTCACCTGCCCCCCAGCCACCTTCACCTGCCCCCCCAGCCACCTTCACCTGCCACCTTCACCCCCCCCCAGCCACCTTCACCTGCCCCCCCCCAGCCACCTTCACCTGCCCCCCAGCCACCTTCACCTGCCCCCCAGCCACCTTCACCTGCCCCCCAGCCACCTTCACCTGCCCCCCCAGCCACCTTCACCTGCCCCCCCAGCCACCTTCACCTGCCCCCCCAGCCACCTTCACCTGCCCCCCAGCCACCTTCACCTGCCCCCCAGCCACCTTCACCTGCCCCCCCAGCCACCTTCACCTGCCCCCCCCAGCCACCTTCACCTGCCCCCCCAGCCACCTTCACCTGCCCCCCCAGCCACCTTCACCTGCCCCCCAGCCACCTTCACCTGCCCCCCCAGCCACCTTCACCTGCCCCCCCAGCCACCTTCACCTGCCCCCCCCAGCCACCTTCACCTGCCCCCCCAGCCACCTTCACCTGCCCCCCAGCCACCTTCACCTGCCCCCCAGCCACCTTCACCTGCCCCCCAGCCACCTTCACCTGCCCCCCAGCCACCTTCACCTGCCCCCCCAGCCACCTTCACCTGCCCCCCAGCCACCTTCACCTGCCCCCCAGCCACCTTCACCTGCCCCCCAGCCACCTTCACCTGCCCCCCCAGCCACCTTCACCTGCCCCCCAGCCACCTTCTCCTGCCCCCCCAGCCACCTTCACCTGCCCCCCCCCAGCCACCTTCACCTGCCCCCCCCCAGCCACCTTCACCTGCCCCCCAGCCACCTTCACCTGCCCCCCCAGCCACCTTCACCTGGGCAGGACCGGTACGCCGCCTCACAGGGAGTGAGGGAGAAACCAGCCTCGCCTGCCTCAAGTCCTCAACTCAACACATTAAATTAAACTAACTTCAATAATAAAAATAATTGAAAAGGAGTAATAATACAAAAATAAATAATCAAAGTGTAAAAAAATTTGATAATAAATAATAAAAAATTAATAATAAAAATTTAACAATACAAATTTAATAAAACAAATTTAACATAAATATAAATTCAGTAAGATTAACAATTAAAATTTAATACATATACTAATAAATTAATAATAAGAATAGTAAAAATAATAATAATCGCAATACTTTAATAATCTAATTCAAAATAATAATTTAAAATTGAATAGTAACAAATTACGTCTATAAGTAAAATTTGTATAACAAAATAATGTATTATAGTAATGATACGCATTATACAAGGGGGAAAATACATTTGAATTTTGTGGGCTTAAACCTTCAGTCCAAAATAAAATACACATTATTTTATAGTGTATAAAACACTTTTAAAACAGACGCAATTCTATATTGTCTATCAACTCGCTTAACGAGCAATTAGCAATTATCGTTGTTCAATTAGCAAAAATAACTAATTATTATCAGGGTATTCTGGCTTGTCCGGTTCGTGCTCGCGATTAGCCACTCCGTCAAAAATGCATCTGTTTGTCCTTAATTAATAACGTACTAACCCAAGCAACCCACCTAACCAATTGCAATAGAACATATTATCTGTTGGAAATTGCATCTGTTTGTAGGTAATATTTTCCTGTTTGAATGTTACTTTAGAGAGTATACTTATTAACGAGGCTGTTAAGGCCTGCTTTGGTTGACGAGGCAGTTAACAATAGCTTGTTATGCTCGTCGTTTCAACGTAATACAGCCAAATTTTGGTCTAAATTGGACTACGATTTGGTTTACAGCCAAAAAATATGATTCTGAAACAAATGAAGTCAATCTTGACTAATTCTGGGCCACTGAGAACGGAAATATTTATCATTCTGGGATCATCCGGGATGTAGGTTCGAACCCTCATCACGGCCCTTGTGGATTTGTTCGTGTGTTCTCAAGTTGAGAATGGTCCAGGACGGACCGAAACGTCGTCGTCCCTTCACTTTCTAGTGTGTGGTCTGGACAACATATATCAGCCACGTTATTGTGACTCCTAGTCTACATTTGTTTATAATTGTTAATTAGCTCTAGTTTTCATCCAAGAAGAGTCTTAAAATATGTTTTTACTATTTTACTGTGAGAGTGTGAGTGTGATAGTCGTGCGAGAGTGTGAGTGTGATAGTCGTGCGAGAGTGTGAGTGGGAGAGTCGTGCGAGAGTGTGACTTTCTGTGTAAAAACAGATTTTTACTCTGAAATAATATAATTTTATAACGAAATTAGACGAAACTGAAGTGGCATGTTACGCCATAGGAAGTCGACGATCCGAGCGACAATGTTGTGGCTTAGGGTGATTAGATGGACCCAATTTCGTTATTAAATTATATTATTTCAAAGTAAAAAATCAGTTTGTTTTCATGTTCTGCATTCTGCACTAATATTATAGTGAATAAATATATCATTATTTCAGTAATGAGTTATTCATTAGTTACGTTAATGCTAGAGGCCCCCCTAATACGAGGGGGGCCTCGTAGCCTGGTGGATAGCGCGCAGGACTCGTAATTCTGTGGCGCGGGTTCGATTCCCGCACGAGGCAGAAACAAATGGGCAAGTTTCTTTCACCCTGAATGCCCCTGTTACCTAGCAGTAAATAGGTACCTGGGAGTTAGTCAGCTGTCACGGGCTGCTTCCTGGGGGTGGAGGCCTGGTCGAGGACCGGGCCGCGGGGACACTAAAGCCCCGAAATCATCTCAAGATAACCTCAAGATAGGATGCTGTGGGTAATAAGACAGACCACACTCCGAATGCAGCCCTTTTGGAGAAAAACGTTCAGCACTTGTTGAATCAGTCAAGATTTGCTTACCACCCTCACACATCAAACAATAGCTAATCACCTAAATTTGGATTAGTATGTTTAAATTCGGCACGTCAAAACGCATGATAAACCACCTTTTTGCATCTCAGGAGGAGATAACTGTTCAACACTGTTCATTGTAGTTAGTACCTTTGAAAATTTGCAACGTAACAACGTTTATTAACGTATTACGTCGTACAAAATTAGTCGAAATAATTAGTTGTGAGTTTGCGAGGCAGATGTCCAATGGCAGCAAGCCCATAACTTACGTTATTTTACCTATCGACATCATTAAGACGTCGAGATCATACCTGTCAGACGACCAAATAACAACGTTAACTCGTTATTACGTTTCAACGACGTACATAACCGTCCAAGATAACATTTTAGTTACGTTGTAAATAACCCAGTGGGCACTGATAATATAACGTTGAATCGACGTCACTCGTAGGGGGCATGGGGAGGGGGGGGGCATTATGCCCACCGGGTTAGGCTGCATTAAACACAAGGGTGTGTCAGGGGGGAGAGAGAGAGAGAGAGAGAGGGGTATATTGGGTGGAGATAATTAACATTCTCTCTGTGGGTGGTTTAGGGTATGTTGTCATCCTACCTTGTATGGTACTTGTCCGCCAGGCTTTTCCTATCGCGGCTTTCATGCCTCCCAAAACAGTGTCGTTGGTCCGTCTGCGGTGTTGGGAACGGTGCTTCGGGTAGGGGAGAGGGGGTCTTGAGGTGTTTGTCTATGATTTAGTTGTGTCTGTTTGGCGTTAAAGAGCGTTTAAGTGGTGTAGATGGTTAAATAGTTTAACAGCGCGGAGGTTGGCAAGAGCGGCCCGCCTGGGGGTGGAGATGGCCAAGTAGTGGTGGTGGTTCGAGTCCCCCCCCCCACCAACCCACCCCCCACCGCCTCACCCAGCCACTCCTGTTGCCCTTCGACCCTCGCCCGGTTCCCCACCTTTAACTCCACCACCTCCTCCTCCTCATATACCAGCTTTCTCCACCTCCCAAGTCTATATGAACCTTCATCAACAGGATATACCTGGGCTATCTCTCTCTCACACACCTGCCTACACCCGTCTCTGCCTACACCTGGCTACATGGGTGAGGCACATATACAAGGGGACACAGGTGGGACTCAGTGCCCAAAGGAGCTAACAGGGATTTTAGAAAGATTTTGTTGTGAGTGTCAGAGTAGTTAACAGGTGGAATGCATTAGGCAGTGATGTGGTGGAGGCTGACTCCATACACAGTTTCAAATGTAGATATGATAGAGCCCAGTAGGCTCAGGAACCTGTACACCTGTTGATTGACAGTTGAGAGGCGGGACCAGAGAGCCAGAGCTCGACCTCCGCAAGCACAATTAGGTGAGTACACCTGCGTTCATTCACGTCTGTTTTTTTTCCTTGACGTTGGTTTGGCCGCGCCTGTTGACGACTTTTGGCCGCGCCTGTTGACGACTTTTGGCCGCACCTGTTGACGACTTTTGGCCGCGCCTGTTGACGACTTTTGGCCGCACCTGTTGACGACTTTTGGCCGCACCAGTTGACGACTTTTGGCCGCACCTGTTGACTTTTGGCCGCGCCTGTTGACGACTTTTGGCCGCACCTTTTGACGACTTTTGGCCGCACCTGTTGACGACTTTTGGCCGCACCTGTTGACGACTTTTGGCCGCACCTGTTGACGACTTTTGGCCGCACCTGTTGACTTTTGGCCGCGCCTGTTGACGATTTTGGCCGCACCTGTTGACGACTTTTGGCCGCACCTGTTGACGACTTTTGGCCGCACCTGTTGACGACTTTTGGCCGCACCTGTTGACGACATTTGGCCGCGCCTGTTGACGACTTTTGGCCGCACCTGTTGACTTTTGGCCGCGCCTGTTGACGATTTTGGCCGCACCTGTTGACGACTTTTGGCCGCACCTGTTGACGACTTTTGGCCGCACCTGTTGACGACATTTGGCCGCGCCTGTTGACGACTTTTGGCCGCGCCTGTTGACGACTTTTGGCCGCACCTGTTGATGACTTTTGGCCGCGCCTGTTGACGACTTTTGGCCGCACCTGTTGACGACTTTTGGCCGCACCTGTTGACGACTTTTGGCCGCACCTGTTGACGACTTTTGGCCGCGCCTACTCCCCCCCTCCCCCCCCTGTACCCCAGCTTGTCTACAAGGCCTACCAGTTCTGCCTGTACACACTTGGCAGACAAGCTTGTCTGCCTCATCAAGCTTCCTCCCCCCCCTTCACCCCCTCTCACTCCCTCCCCCCCTCCCCCTCCTTGCCGCACCCTTTACCACCCCCCCTCACCACTCCCTCACCCTCCCCATCCCCACGACCTCATCCTCCCCCACGCTCGCCTCACAGGCATACACACCCACACCCACGTGGGGGGAGGGGTGGGGGAGAAGGAATTCCAGGAGGTATAAGGAATGATAAGGAGGGAAGAGGGGAGGGGGAAGGGGGAAGGATGTGGGAGGGGGAGGGGGGGAGAGGGAGGGGAGGGGGGAGGGAGAGGGGAGAGGGGGGAGGGGGAGGGGGGGGGTTGCAAGCAGAAGGGGGTGTGAGGAAGATCTATAAGCCCAACAACACCCATGAAGTTGATTGCTCTTTTGTCCATTGTAATTCCTATTGGTCGCTGGCTCCAATCAGGGATGCCTATTGGTCGCTGGCTCCACTGGGGGATGCCTATTGGTCGCTGGCTCCACTGGGGGATGCCTATTGGTCTCTGGCTCCACCAGGGATGCCTATTGGTCGCTGGCTCCAACAAGGATTCCTATTGGTCGCTGGCTCCAACAAGGATGCCTATTGGTCGCTGGCTCCAACAAGGATGCCTATTGGTCGCTGGCTCCAACAAGGATGCCTATTGGTCGCTGGCTCCAACAAGGATGCCTATTGGTCGCTGGCTCCAACAAGGATGCCTATTGGTCGCTGGCTCCAACAAGGATTCCTATTGGTCGCTGGCTCCAACAAGGATGCCTATTGGTCGCTGGCTCCAACAAGGATGCCTATTGGTCGCTGGCTCCAACAGGGGATGCCTATTGGTCGCTGGCTCCAACAAGGATTCCTATTGGTCGCTGGCTCCAACAAGGATTCCTATTGGTCGCTGGCTCCAACAAGGATGCCTATTGGTCGCTGGCTCCAACAGGGGATGCTTATTGGTCGCTGGCTCCAACAGGGGATGCCTATTGGTCGCTGGCTCCAACAGGGGATGCCTATTGGTCGCTGGCTCCAACGGGGGATGCCTATTGGTCGCTGGCTCCAACGGAGGATGCCTATTGGTCGCTGGGTCCAACGGGGGATGCCTATTGGTCGCTGGCTCCAACGGAGGATGCCTATTGGTCGCTGGCTCCAACGGGGGATGCCTATTGGTCGCTGGCTCCAACGGGGGATGCCTATTGGTCGCTGGCTCCAACAGGGGATGCCTATTGGTCGCTGGCTCCAACGGGGGATGCCTATTGGTCGCTGGCTCCAACGGAGGATGCCTATTGGTCGCTGGCTCCAACGGGGGATGCCTATTGGTCGCTGGCTCCAACAGGGGATGCCTATTGGTCGCTGGCTCCAACGGGGGATGCCTATTGGTCGCTGGCTCCAACAGGGGATGCCTATTGGTCGCTGGCTCCAACAGGGGATGCCTGTTGGTCGCTGGCTCCAACAGGGGATGCCTGTTGGTCGCTGGCTCCAACGGAGGATGCCTATTGGTCGCTGGCTCCAACGGGGGATGCCTATTGGTCGCTGGCTCCAACGGGGGATGCCTATTGGTCGCTGGCTCCAACGGAGGATGCCTATTGGTCGCTGGCTCCAACGGGGGATGCCTATTGGTCGCTGGCTCCAACGGAGGATGCCTATTGGTCGCTGGCTCCAACGGGGGATGCCTATTGGTCGCTGGCTCCAACGGGGGATGCCTATTGGTCGCTGGCTCCAACAGGGGATGCCTATTGGTCGCTGGCTCCAACGGGGGATGCCTATTGGTCGCTGGCTCCAACGGAGGATGCCTATTGGTCGCTGGC